CTGATCAGAAGGTCAGCAGTTCGAATCCCTGCGACGGGGTGAGCTACCGTTGCTCAGTCCCAGCTCCTGCCAACCTAGCAGTTCGAAAGCACATCAAAGTGCATGTAGATAAATAGGTACCGCTCCGGCAGGAAGGTAAATGGCGTTTCCGTGCACTGCTCTGGTTCGCCAGAAGTGGCTTAGTCATGCTGGCCACATGACCCAGAAGCTGTACGCCGGCTCCCTCGGCCACTAAAGCAAAATGAGCGCCACAACCCCAGAGTCGGCCACGACCGACCTAATGGTCAGGGGTCCCTTTACCTTTACCTTTACCTTTTATGGTATTATTCAGTCAGTGTATTCAGGGCCAAGGAGGAATTTTTCCTGCAGATAAATTTGCCAGTCTGCAGGTTTTCACCAAACTCATAGCAACCGTCACAACTCTGGCAGATAAGACATTGGGTTGGATCCTTAACTGAGCAGGTAAATGAGTGCAGGAGGAGTGACTCTGTCTGGGGGCCAATGGGCAAAAACATCCCTCCCAATGGCAACCTAGGGTGGGGTTGTGGCACCTGGACTATGTCAGGGGAGACGCCCCACTTCAGGGCCAACCTCCCCATGATTATCAACCAACAGGCAGGTTGCTTGATACTGGATACATATCCAATGCCCTTGCCAAGCCTACTGGCATCAGTAATCAAGAAAGTTGTGGCCTATTGCAACCCAAATATCAATCTCCTGGGTTTATTTCATGGTCTGCCCCACACCGCATAATGGACATCATGCACTTCTGGCAGCAAGTAGTTCCTTCTACTCTGTTTCCACTGACTACCCCAACTTTCTTCCTATTTCATTACTAGAATGTTCAGGCCTAACTATAATAGAAGTCATATTCATTTGAGTATATTGAATTAAACCAGCAACTTCTTAGGTTTCTTTAAAAAAAGAAAAAGTTTGTAGCCCTCATGATTGAGCAGAGGTGGGAATGAAAATATATAAGCAGTTAGGCAATCTACTGGAGGTTAAAGTGAACTTTAGCAGAATTTCAAGTGAGAGAGAGCAGGGTTGGTCCTATTCCGTGATTCCTGATTTAGAAACCTGACTTTCCCTGCTGCCCCGCATCCCACCTAATCTTTCAACACTCGTAGTGACATTTCCACTCTCTTTTTACCCCCAAGCCATCTTATTTCTTTACTTCAATATTTTATCCTGTCCTTCCTCCAAGAACCTTAGGACAGCATATTTACTCCTCCCTATTTTATCTTCACAACAACCGGATCTCTGACATGCATCCCACCACTCCGGTTATTTACGACTTGCAAGTATGTGATTTGTTTCTTCCTGCAGAAAGTGCCCCTCCCCACCCCATTTGTCCCATGCTGACATTTTCTTAAGACAGCTTGTATGCATGCTTTTGGATACCTATCCTATTTAGCTTATATGTAGACAAAAGTCTGCCTCCTTTCATATGTGACTCCTTGGGATTAGGGGGGAAATGGCTATACTAAAGACTGGAGACTATCAAATGAATGTGTTGTTTTCCTAAGCCTGATTACCGCTGCCTTTATAGTACCATTTGGATAACAAGACATGTATTCTCTTGCCAGTCATATTCATTAATCAGGCATTCCCCAAGCACTAGCATATAAATATCCGTAAATGTTATATTTATGGATCGACTCATGTTATAATTTCATTTTAAAGGTAGATCATCTATGTATAATTGCCTCACTTTTAAATAGGTTAATGGTAGGAATCCATTAACCGTGCAAATGGAATACAAATATTTACTAGTTGATGCTGTTTCCCAAACACCTCCAGCAAATTGCACCACTCCTTAGCTTAGTTACACAAGCATACCAGCCCTGGGGTAGTCAATATCCTGCCCTCCAGATGCTGCTAGACTATAACTCCCATCATCCCTGACTCTCAGCCCTGCTGACTGGGGCTGCTGGAAGCTGGAGCCATCTGGAGTACACCACCTTGGCTACCCCTGTATCAGCCAGACATCTCTTCTGCCACATATGTAGCAGTGTGGTGGCAGAGTGGTCCAAGCTCCTTTCCTCCATCACACAGTTTCCTATGTGAACTGGGCATATATTTGTACATGTGATGGCATGCAGGCCCACTTGGGGTGCCCTCCTCTCTTTGGACATTTTAAGGAGAAGAATGGTGCAAACCAGGTCTCTGCATGGCTAACAGCACACACAGAGTGCTGCCTAGTCCAAGAAGAATGGAAAGCAAAGACATTGAACTAACTATGGCTACAGTCAGATGTGGAATTTATTGCTTTAGTTTTACTGGTTATAATGCTAGTGCTTCTGTCCTCATTTCTAAGGTCTGTTTTACGTTGCAGTACCTGTTGCATCAGAGAGGCAGGTGGCGCTGTGGGTTAAACCACAGAGCCTATGGCTTGCCGATCAGAAGGTCAGCAGTTCAAACCCCACGATGGGGTGAGCTCCCGTTGCTCGGTCCCAGCTCCTGCCAACCTAACAGTTCGAAAGCATGAAGTGCAAGTAGATAAATAGGTACCGCTCTGGCGGGAAGGTAAACGGCGTTTCCGTGTGCTGCTCTGGTTTGCCAGAAGTGGCTTAGTCATGACGGCCACATGACTCGGAAGCTGTACGCCAGCTCCCTCGGCCAATAAAGCGAGATGAGCGCTGCAACCCCAGAGTCGTCCATGACTGGACCTAACGGTCAGGGGTCACCTTTACCTGTTGCATTATGGAACTGTGGCTTTTTTATAGATGTGCCACAGTGTCACACTAAATTTTAAATGGTGGGAAAGAGCTGTATTCTGGGATAACATCCTAAATTTCATCACATGAAATTACAGTGCAAAACTCCCTCTATTTTTCTGGGTTAACAGAGTTGCAAATGGTTTTGGGTTGTTGTTTTTCTGGAAACAAAATCATCGAAATGAGTGCTAAACTTCCACTTGCTTTCCAGAAAATTCACACAGAATGTGGAGAGTATAACGAAACTACATGGAAACAGAATAAAGTGTTGTCTGAATGAAGCCCAAGTTCTGCCTCCAGAAGTGAGAGGCTGCTCTTTCATTCGATGCATGCATGTGGGCTTTTTGTAAACATCTGCTTGGCCACTGTGAGGACAGGCTGATGGACTAGATGGGCCTCTGGTCTGATCCAGCAGGGCTTCTCTTGCATTTGTTTATTACAGAACACTAGTTTAGGCATGCAGGAGGCCACTGCACAGACCACTGTGGAATAGCCTGTTAATTTAACATAAGTTTGCATCTTTGTGTGTAAGAGAGAGGAAGTGTAAATTAAAGGACTTAACAGCCAATGTCGCTTTGACCTGTGTTGATGGCAAATGCAAAAGATCAATGAGAAACAATTATAGCACTCTAATTACAGCAGTGGATTTAGAAGTGGAGATTCTGATAATATATCCCTAAAGTGAAGCTTGGGATGGTGGTGGTGGTGAAGATCAGAGGGAACATGGGGTTCATAAAAGAAGCAAATCTTACAGAAGTGGAAAGCCATCTGTGGAAGAGACCTACAGCAGTTGAGTTAGGCCTCTAGACAGGGTTCCAGTACATGGGCCCACAGTAATCATTGGCTAGGCAGGTCTACTTCCATGATTTAAGGATCCCGGTCAATAAAACCCCAACCAGCCCTCTTTTCTAGTGGTACCACAACTGGCTGGTTGCCACTCCTCTTGGTTTTCTCAGTTTTCTCAACACATGCTTAAAAAGCCCTCAATTCCATTATTTCTGAGCAGGATCTTGTTTATTTTAATTTGATGTGGTAACCTTTGCTCCATTTACGTGCTCACCTGTGTGAGGTATGAGGCTGAGCTCAGAAGAAATGTTCTTGGATTTAGCAGCCACATAGCTGTGACAGTTGGGATTCTTGCAGTTCTTTGGACCCCTGGCTCTGGGTAGATATTGCAGGCAGCAGTTTAGGTGTCCTCTTTCCATGGAGGCAGGTTCCCCCTAAGGGATGGGAGGAGAAAATAAATTCAGCTTGCATTTGAAGGGGTACCTACTTTATGTGTATTTTCAGAAATGAGAACCAAAACACAACCATCATTTGAAATACACACTTCTCTGAATTTTGCAGTGCAGTTCTGCAGCCAAGTTATATGTACAAAAATGTATGTGTGTATCAAAATGCGTATGTTAGTGAAAATAACATACAAAAAATATATATTACGGAGCACAGTTACAAAATATATCAGGGAACATTCGCCCCCCCTGAACTAGCTGATGCACTCGGGTGCAATGGAGGGTTTTGTCCTATCCCCATTGATGAAATAGGATTCACCTGCCATTCCTGTGGGATTCTACATGGAAGTCAAAACAGCAGGCCAGACCAACCTGTGGATATTATTATTATTATTATTATTATTCTCATTCTCATTATTATTTAGTCATTTGGCAATTCTGAAGCATTTCAGGGGAATTTACAAAATGAGAAATACATCTCCGGATTTCTTAATGTTGTTTTAACAATTGGAAATGCATCAAATACCCTCTGGAAGTGGTATTTTGGGATGACATCTGACAGGCTACTGTCACCCCTGTCTGCACAGCAGGAAATGTTTCTGAAGCTCCATCACTGGTCATCATTTTGATATCCTCTACTTAGCTACACTGCAAATGAAAAGAGACATGCAAATTTGATTTGCTTGGCAGTCTCTTGGGCGTCAAAAGCAATATGTAGGTGTCAAAAGTGCCTAATAAACATGTTCTTCAGATTCTTTTTGGCTCAATGCATTATAAATGTGCATCTTTTTAGATTAGTGAAGGGGGGTGATTAAAATAGGAAGAAGCACTTGGAATACCTATTGGAAAAAGCATTAGGAACCTGAACTTCATCAATAGAGACTATTAGTCTCAAAGCAGGTTTGATGAATCAAAAGTGATTAAGATAAGAAAATGCCAACTAGGTTTCCCCGAGGTAAACTTTGAAATTAATTCTGTGTCCTCAACAGACATTTCAGCACACCTTTTTTTCCCCACAAGTACAGTGGATGGGATGGGGCCTTTTATTGGACCGGGGAGGGGTTTAAATTAAACATTGCTTTGGTTTTAGCCTACAAGTTCTCTGTGATTAACATAAGAACATAAAAATAGCCTTGAGCTTGTTTGGAGGTTCTAGCAGGGGAGCGCAGCTATCGTATACCCTTGACCGAAGAACGGTACACTCCTTCTATCTGGGATGGTCGTCCTCTTCCACCGAGCGTGCAGCTTCGGGAGGGACGCACATGGAGCGGTGAGGGAGGAAGGGGACACCCGCCTAGCCAGCCAGATCAGCCGAATCAACCCTGGCGATCAATGGGGTGACAGATGTCGCAGCCAGATCGCCCTCACATGCCAGACTTGAGGTTATATTATGAAGCGTCATGTCTTTGTTGGTTGAAAGAATGGATGAAGTTAGAAAATAATGAATTATTGGATTTAGAAGGTTATGATAATAGATTCAGTTGGCACGCGTATTTATGCTATGATAAAAAAGAATACATAAAGGGTTTGAGAACCACATCTTTAGAGGATCTTTGATTGGAGTTTGGAATAGGTATAAAAATGTATTAGAACCAAAGATTCCACATTGGTTATCACCATTAGAGGTTATGAGTATTAAAAAGATAAATATGAGCGGGAGATGGATAACATTTGAGAAACTATTAAAAAAGGAAGGAAATAAGTGGAAATTGAAACCATATGAAGAAGTAAAAGAATATGTTAAGGATTGGCTGCATTATTTTTAGTTAAATGAAATGTTTAAAAAAGAGGTTTTAGAAAGGGGATATTCTGAAAAAGAATCTAGATTTCAACAAGAAATCTTAAACAATGAAGTGAAAATTTTATCTAAAATGTATAAAATATTGTTGGAATGGAATACTGTGAACGAAGAGGTTAAATCTGTTATGATTAGTTGGGCTAGAGATTTCAGATATAATATTGAATTTGAGAAATGGACTAAATTATGGAAGGATGGGTTAAAGTTTACAGCTTGTACAATGATTAAGGAAAATGTTATGAAGATGTTATATAGATGGTATATAACACCAGTAAAACTGGGTAAAATGTATAAAGTGTGTAATAAATGTTGGAAGTGTAAGGAGACAGAAGGAACATTTTACCATATGTGGTGGGAATGTAAGAAGGTAAAAAGCTTCTGGGAGATGATCTATAATGAGTTAAAGAAAATGCTGAAATATACTTTTGTTAAAAAACCAGAAGCTTTCTTGTTGGGAATACTGGATAATGAAATTAGTAAAAAAGATGTGAAATTAGTTTTGTATGCAGTAACAGCAGCCAGAATTTTGCTGGCACAGAAATGGAAACAGGAAGAGATGCCCAGGAAAGAAGAATGGAGGATGAAACTGATGGAATACGCAGAAATGGACAGATTGACGGGGAGAATTAGGAACCAACGTGACCAGAGATTCTCCGAGGACTGGAAGAAATTTACAGAGTATATCAAAAATTTCTGTGATGAGCAAATAACGTTCGTTGGCTTTCAAGAAGCTTTGTGAAATTACTGTTAGAAATATTGTTTAAAAATATGATGTGATTAAGAGTATTTGAGTGCAATATAATATTGGGAAATGTGAGACGAGGATAAAAAATAAACGGAAAATTATCAGACAAGCTGAGGGAAGTTCTGGAAAAAAGGGTTTAAGTTAAAAATGGATGTATAATTTTGTAAAAAAAAAAAATTAATGGAAAAATCTAATAAAAAATATTTATTAATTAAAAAAAGAACATAAAAATAGCCTGCTGGATCAGGCCAGTGACCCATCTAGTCCAGCATCCTGATCTCACAGTGGCCAACCAGATGCCTGTGGGAAGCCCACAAGCAGAACCAGAGCACAACAGCCCTTTCTTGTCCTCTGGTTTCCAGCAACTGGTATTCAGAAGCACTGGTGCCTCTGCCTGTGAGCATAGCTATTATGGCTAGCAACCCTCTCCTCCATGACTTCGTTTAATCCTCTTTTTAATCTATATTGGTTTGTTGGGCATCGTTGCTTCCTGTGGGAGCTGCATTCTAAGGTGTTCAGAACAAAGCTACTACAGATATCTTAGGCGCCTGGGCTGATTCCCGATTTTATTTCAGTTTTTCACCGAATGCACTTTCAATGGCTTGGAAGTCTGTAACCATTAAAACAAAAGCAAGACAAAAAAAAAAAAAAAAGCATGATGGCTTCACCCATAGTAACTCAGGGCGCAATCTGAGTACATGCAACAGTACAGGCAACAGGGGTACCAACTTGAATAAAATATTGGGGGCCCAGGTAAGCCCTGATCCACATAATTAATCACGTGGTGTGGTGTACGCACACGATTTGAATGGCAATGCCCATTAACTTGGGAGGAGGCAGCCCCTCAAATATTTCATTGGGGGGAGCAAAGGGACCTCAGCCCCTAGGAGTTGACTCCTATGACAGCAGCATGTCAGCACCAGGTATCCACAGGCAGTTGCTGGGACTCCAATGCCCTCCAGGAATGGGAGGGCTCCATCTTGTCATTTTGCTTCAGTCAACGAAATGTCTTGTGTGGTGTAGTGGTTAAGAGTGGTAGGCTCGTAATCTGGTGAACCCGGTTCGCGTCTCCGCTCCTCCACATGGAGCTGCTGGGTGACCTTGGGCTAGTCACACTTCTCTGAAGTCTCTCAGCCCCACTCACCTCACAGAGTGTTTGTTGTGGGGGAGGAAAGGAGAATGTTAGCTGCTTTGAGACTCCTTTGGGTAGTGATAAAGCGGGATATCAAATCCAAACTTCTTCTTCTTCTTGGACTGGCCCTGGCCATAATGTGTTGGGGAGCTGCTAATCAGAGAATCCATCTTTAGCCTCCCAGAAACAGACTTTTTTTGCATTTTCAAGATTTTCTCCGCATAATTTGCTTCAGGTTTTCTCCATGGTCATATGGGTTAGAAACCTGCCTATTTAAAAAGAATGGTTGAAGTTCTCAGGACTGTAAGGAAAGGAATGAGATTCTGCAACAGAAATATGAACCTGGTATATAATGGCACATACATATATATATCATCATCACTTTTTCAGGCTTCAGTGAGCATATTTAATTCCTTTGATCTGTTCTCATAGCTCAGCCCCTTTGGTCCCGCAATTGTTTTGCCAAGTTCTTACAGGTCTGCCTGAATTGTCTGATAAAAAGGCAGGATCTCATCGTTATTTATCATTTCACTTTAAAGCATTTCCCTCTTTTCCACTTGCAGATTGTTGTCCTTTACCACTCGGTAAATATCAATAGTCCCCACAGCCTATGGTGTGAAAGAGACAAAGGTCTGTTTAAATAACCCTCAGTGTAGCCAAGTGCTTTATCAAAGCCATGCATCTTTGTTTGCACATCCGAATCACTAGCTGCTGTTTGCACAGCCCCTGGGAGAGCTGGTGAGGCAACTTGTGTGGCTGAATTTGTAGGCTGCTTAAGCAAGGCCTGCAAGATAAAGATAGCCATTTTTGTACATTTCATCCTGACATTTAGCATTTCAGAGAGCAAGGTAACCAAGCATCAGGGTCAAACGAATTCTATATTGATTGAACAAGGCATTCAGTTACCACAACTGAGTGCATTGTGAAGCCTATGGTTATAACCTAAGTCAGAATGACATGTGCTATTCCAAACAGCTAGGAGAGCTGTTCTGATGTGGTTCTTTGGGAAATAATAAGTGTCCTGATAGAATTCGAGGTCTATCTAGTGTTCCAAAATATGGTTTCCAGCCAGTGACCCGCCCCATGCCTGCAGGAAGCTTACAAGCATGACATGAAAACAAAAACAAGGGAAGAGTACACCTTTGGGGGCGAAATTAAACTGGTGGAAGGTTCCAGTGCCTGCTGTGTAGATGTAGAGATCAATATGAGAGACTTATTCTCTCCACCCCATCATACATCTAGTAGTGCCCCTATCACGGTTACCCTCCTTTTCCTTCATCTCCCCATTCCTTAAGCTGCACCCCATCTTCAAGTTGTTCTCCTCTTACTTGGCTTAGCAAACAGTTCTTTTTGTGCACCTTCGTTAAAAATACAGTGAGGGGAAGGAGTCATCTTCTGCCCAGCAGTAGCCTCACTCATTAATTTCTAACAGCCAATTGCATCCCCTGAAGCCTTTTGCATTCCTCTGATTTTCAGTCTTATGATGTTCCTTATTTGAGGTCGCAATTTCACTTCGGGGCAAATATTCTAATAGTTTGGCTTCACAAAACGTGGTTGCGCTGCAATCAATCCATACAAATACAGAGCCACATATTCCAAAGCACCTCTCTCCCTCCATCCCAACACCACCAACATTCCTTTAAAAAAAAAATGAAGAAAACTCAGAAGTCTCAGAAGTGATTTTTGTGTGTTGCCTGTGTAATAGGTCCTTCAATGCTTTGAAGTAGAAGGTGCTAAAAAGAAATAAATGATTAATTGGATTTCCCCCCATAGTCATTTGAAGTTTTTCTCATCTGAGTCCAAGTCTTGAGCTTTACCCCATGTAATAATAATAATAATAACTATTAATTATGTTTGTTTGTTTGTTTGTTTAAAAAACAAATGGTGCAAGAAATGAGCAAAATATTGATGCATTAATGAAGCAACTCAGCAACTTGTGTCACAAATTAGCCAATCTCCTTTTTCATTCAGGGTGTTTTAAAATTTAGCATACCCTCCAACATTTCTCCAATGAAAATAGAGACATCCTAAGGAAAGCGGGACTTTCCGGAATCAAATCAGAAACTGGGATGGCTTCTTTCCCTGGAAAATAGGAACCACTTGGAGGAGTTGCCATTGCACAGATAAAGAAAGTTCTATTCTTAAAAAGTGCCCTCAGAATTAGGCAGAAAAATGGAACTCTCTTTCACACAGGAAGAAAACTTTTGAGATAATTGGAGGACATATTTTGGCACAACACTAGTACATACATTCATCCCCGCCCTTATACATGCTGTCAATGAGGTTTTGCGGGTTTTTCTAGTACTTTGAAAAAAAATCTTCAAATCTCTTTGACTCGAGATCAAAAGAGGACGGGAGAAATGAATGGGTGGACTGTAGGCAGCATTCATTTCCCCATACCGCTTTCAAGTGTCTGAAAAGTTATCATAGGGTGTGTAAAGAGAATGATCATTTCCTTTCATAGTTTCCCCATCCCATATGCTTTTTCACAGCATGGTAAGTGGGAGCAGGGGAAGGTGCACCTCTGACACTGTGCACGATTTTCAGCTTGGCAACTAAAGGCTCCAACAATTCTCACACGGTAGCAGATCTCTATGGCCTGGAAGCAGGCACACTTGCGCTATGGTGCAGACCAGGCAAGGAAGATGAACATAATAGCAGTTGCATTTGGGGTCGAATCAAAATAAACTATCAGCA